ACCCACGCCACCCCCCACAATTCTCCCTCACACGCTCACACACAATTACACACACAGTTACACACACAATACACACACAAACTCACGCGTCACACACACACAGACCTCCGGCGAGAACACACACACACACACTTCGCCGCCGCCGGAGGCCACACACAGCACAAAGTCGGCCATCACATTAACCGCCGCCTCCGCCACGCCATAGCCACCGCGCCTCCGTGAATCTCATCCGACTGTGCAATCTTCAACGCACGACTCAGTTCGTCTCCGGCGACCTCCCAACGACCGCCAACCTTCGTCTCCTCTCTAGACAAACATTCGTTGCCGCCCCTAATCACCTCCGGGTACCTCCGTCCGCCGTCTTCGGGAGGAGATATGGCGGGTGTAGGTGGAGAGTCGGACGTCCGCCGCCTCCTGCAGCTCGAAACTCGCCATCGCCGGCGTGAAGGAAGCAATCCGACCATTTCAGAGCCTGAAAATGGAATGGGTGTTGGGCTAATTTTTTGAGAATTGGATTAAGTTTAGGGGTCTATTGCAATTTAATAATTTTAATTATATTTCAATTTAAACCCTTGGGTCAAATATGTTATTATTGAAAGTTAATAAAAAAGATTTTGTTATGCACTTAAAATAAAATAATAAATAATTATTAACTAAAAAATAAAATAAGGTATAAAGTAATTTAAAAATAATAATTAAATTATTAAATAAAAATAATATCAATTATTAAAATAATATAAAAAATAATTTGTAATAGCAAGCAAATTATATAATAAAAATAATAAATAAAATGTTATTTTAATCATTTAAATTAATTCAATGTACAATTATACACACAATTTTCATGGGAATGTATAAATTAGCTAGTGCATTTTATATAGAAGAATGTACACTTTATAAAATAACATGTTGCACTTTATAAAATATATAAAAGAATGTGCACTTTTTAAAATAACATGTTGCATTTTATAAAATAATACGTTGCACTTTATCACGGTAAAAATTACAAACATTTTAACATACCAAAATTAAAACATTGCACTTTATGCGGTAATATGTTGCACCTTATAATAGAA